TGACATTTGTGAAAATCTCCCAATAAAAAATCATCTTCTTCCCCATCTCTTCCACCCCCACTCCCCACACACAACACCCACCCCCCACCAAAACCCAAAAAACAATTACCTAATCATTGACCTGCTATCGCCGACTACCACCTGCCACTATCGCCCATCGCTGGCCACCACCGCAAACCAGAACCAATTTGAAAATCCCAATCTTAAAACCTGCCAGACTCATCTCTCATCTTATTCGAGCTTATACAGTTTGACCACTTTCGAGTACTAGCAATCCATTCTAACTTCTTACAAGAGTTGATGGACTCGAGCATATAAGGCTTTTTGATCCCGAAGTGGAGTCTCTCATAGGAGTAGCTGTTCTCGAGGGCTCTTGACTTGCTATTGAAGTCATTTCCGTCCCCATATCCCTCACGCACATAGAGCTCAAAATCGATGCAAAACTATTAACAGACTTATTGATTCTTCATATCATCACAATCTACTTTCTTAGTTCCCACTTTATATGGACTCACACTTATAGAGAAAGCACCATCGTTTTTCCCTCATCTCCACTTGAGTATTCCTTCTTTGGTATCAGAGCTTTCAATCTCTTGTCGTCATCATTTGAATTACTGTGGAAAGCTTTTGTCCGATTTTTATCTCTTCCTTTCAATAGATTTATTAGCCATTTCGATGCATCGTCCCATTTCAATGGAGTTGGTTTTGGGATTCTAATTTTCAAATTGGGGGAGATTCTTTGTGTTGTTGTTTGAAATATTGATTTTAGTTTGCGATGGTGGCGGGGGATGGCTGACATTTGTACTAGTTGTCGACAATAACATGGCGAAGGGTGGATAAGTGTTTTATGGGTTTGGGGGGTAGGGGGAGTGGGAGTGGGAAGTAGGTGAGATGTGGAGGAAGATGATTTTTTATTTTTATTTCTTATCTTTTCTCGTTTATTTTATTTCTGGTTTTTTTAATTATTTTATGTATAAAATTGCAAAGTTATCATTTTACTCATTTCAATTTGGTCAAAATTAATCAAAATCCACTTTTGTTAGTCAACTAACAGTCAAATGGATAATTTGGACTCCGAATGCTTATTTCTCAAAGGTTAGGGACTTCCACTAACACAAATTGAAGATGAGGATAAAGTCTGCAAAAAAGTGAAATATTAGTTACCGTTGTTGCAATTTTCCCTATTTTTAATACAATCTTGCTAAGCAAATGAAAACACGTATAAATCCCAAGCGATTTGTTTGAATACTAGGTGCAAGCAACATGCAATGCACATTTGCTTAGTTTATATTTA